GTAGGGCGAAAGGCCCTCTTCAGTCTCCTTTCAGTAATCGTGGTATTCGGTGGGTGGTTGTTCGGGTGAGAAAGATGAGACGGACGAAATGAAAACAGAAACATTTGCGTAAATGATCCAAGGAAAGCACAGAAAAACTTGGACCAAGGCAGACGGACCCGGAATCGAACCGGCGTCCTCTCGAATGCTAAGCAAAGGTCTAAACCTCTGGGCCATGCCGCTCGCTATGTACATCTGTTAGACGAAGTACTTTTATACAATAGTGGGAATTATATCACCTTGCCGCGTGCTTTATGTTCAATGGTATACGGTATTAGTAGTTCAAATTAGGGGTTGGAGTAACACTGACAAAACATCAACCGCGTCCCGTATACTTAATGTATATTGTGATTAATAAACGATTAAAAATCAACAGTGTCTTGCTCCAGTCCTGCCACAATAGCTCCAACTTTTTGTTTCTATTATTTTAAATAATAAATAGGCAAAAACTAAAGAGACAGATATGAGAAGGGAACGGAATTCCTGTCCAAGGAAAGAATAAATACCTTCTGAGAGAATACTTGCAAAATTTCCGCGATAGATGAACAGTTTGCTAATAAGCCACATCACGTTCAGGCAGACGTGGACCTTTGCTTTTGCACACTCATGGACATCCATAAATATATTTCGTAATAAGCGCGCAACACTGTGAAATTATGCGGCATAATAATATAACTTCACCGCCCGCTATGTTAATTCGGGCTTACAATTAGATGGAAGCTACTAGAATTACATTTGCTTCAGGAGAACTAGACCGTGCACTATGTTTAATAGACAATGTAATTCTGATTATACACAAAAACAGCCGTCTAATTAGTTGCTTCCTTTAATAAAACAATAATTAGGGTACACGGAAAAATAAACTTCTAACAAAATTAGTTCAGCGGTTAATTTGCATAATTACTACATTTTAGAATTTTAAATTATCCTGTGGAAGTACCTGCTGCTTGAGCAATTAACAAAGAGGCAATCGTCAAAGTTGAAGACTATTTCCACGAAACTAAAATTTCTTTTTGAAGTCACTAATTCAACCCTTCCAAGTTTGAACCGATGGGTACCGTTCGTACACTCTTTCCTATTCTGAGCTAATCTTCGCATTTTCCTACTAAAACCAGAACATTCTACATCCTTAACTATTTAAAACAGTAATCTAATCTATAGGTCTACCTCTACTCCTCTTAACACCTGTTTTTGCTTCTAATATGTCTCTGACTAGCCCTTCATCGAGGAGAAGGTGTCCTACCAACCTATGTTGATAATGGGTGGCATTTATTGAAAAATACATTTTATTTACGGAAATTTCCCATACCATCACCCTAGCAAGGCCTAGAACTATAGCACACATATGAAAATTAGAGAACCTTTATTGATGTAAACCCTTGGTACATAGCACTACACATAGGTATGTCAATCAGTAAAACATTTTAGATACTGAAAGTGTCCCATTTTGTTATAGGGTTGTTCGGAAAGTCATTTCGTTTTTTCCCGACAGAGGATTTAATTGTATTCTTTTGCACCCAACTTCACATTTAAGCCGTATAATTTTTATATGCTTTAAGAGCTCATATATCAAGGCTTCTGTGTGTGAAAAATTCCAATTAATTCTACGCAGTAGTTTTTGGTTGGTGCCCTTTTAAATATGGAGAGCGATAAGCAGCATTTTCGACATATCTTACTGTTTTACTACAGAATGGGTAAAAATGCTGTTCAAGCCAGAAAGAAATTGACTGATGTGTATGGATAGGGTGTGTTGACATTACGCCAGTGCCAGAACTGGTTCGCTAAATTTCGATCCGACAATTTTGATGTCGAAGATGCACCACGTTCGGGAAGGCCGGTTGTAGCTGATAAAGACGCGATAAAGGCATTAGTTGATGTGAACCGGCGAATAACAACACGTGAGATCGGATTGAGGTTAAATTTATCAAATTCAACAGTTTATGACTACTTGAAAGGCCTGGGATTATCCTCGAAGCTCGATGTATGGGTTCCCCATGTTCTCACAGAGAGAAATCTGTGTCGCCGCATTGACGTCTGCGATTCGCTTCTCAAACGTCACGAAAATTATCCGTTTTTGAAGCGCATCATCACTGGGGACGAAAAATGGGTTGTATACAACAACGTCAAACGCAAGAGGTCATGGAGCAAAAAAGATGAACCGGCTCAAACCATTTCCAAAGCCGATATTCACCAAAAAAAGGTGATGCTGTCTGTTTGGTGGGATTTTAAAGGAATCGTTTTTTTTTTGAGCTTTTACCGGATAACACAACGATTAATTCGGAAGTCCACTATCATCAGCTGGACAAACTGAATGATGCACTTCAACAGAAAAGGTCAGAAATGTTTAGTGTTTCACCAAGACAACGCGAGACCTCACACAAGTTTGGTCACTCGCCAAAAGCTTTTACAGCTTGAATGGGATACAATGCTACACCCACCATATTCTCCAGACCTGGCTCCATCGGATTATTATTTGTTCCGGTCACTCCAAAATTTTTTAGACGGTAAAACCTTCACCTCAAATGAGGAGGTCAAAAACCTCCTCGATCAGTTTTTTGCCAGCAAAGACCAAAAATTTTATGAGCGTGGAACTATGCTACTACCAGAAAGATGGCAAAAGGTGTTGGTCCAGAACGGTCAATATATAATTTAATAAAGTATTTGTTTATTATACGAAAACTGTCTTTCATTTCCACAAAAAAAAAACGAAATGACTTTCCGAACAACCCTATAGTTTCATTATTTTATTAGATGATTTAATTCCAGAGTACCATTTCATTGTAATTCAATATTTCGACTTGCAGCTTGAAATTTTAAGTTTTTTATTGAGTTACTCATTAGTATAGCAAAGAATTACGATGTGGGCTGAAGGAAAAGTCCAGGCGTCTCCTTGACAACTGTGATTGAAATTTTCTGTGCTACTACGTTGACAATTTCAACGGTCATACTTCAAATTTTCGGTAGTGCCCAAGCTGTCAACACAGTACCACTGACGATGTCAGTCACAGTTGCCAATGAAACGTCTGAACCTACATAACCACAGTCTTTCAGCCCAAATCATAATTTTACCCACCAGTGCTATGACGACCGTTTTTGTTTTTCTATACCACGTTGTATTTTTCACTTTTTTATTATCAGAAGCTCTAGTAATTGTTTCTTACCCTACCGTGGATTGAATCAACATTATTAAAAGTGGGTTACCAAATTGGGGATGTTTTTGCAATGGGAAATTACAAAGTTCATAATTATCGAGTTTTTCTTGCCCAGAAAACGAGTTCATTAAAAGTTTTTAGCGTGTATTTAAATTGATTTCGTATTTAGCTTTCTAGAGCTTTTGATGGCAAGCTTTTCAAAAAAAATATTTAGGGAACTGTTGATGATATTAATTTACTTTACAATAATAAAATCATGAATTCTCACAGTTTGTGTAGATATTAAACGCTTTTTTTTTATTGTTATTACAGTATTTAAATTTCTTTAGAGTCACCTAATCCTTCAGTAGAATTGGATTTTCTTTTATGTGTGTGCGAATAGAGAAGAAATTAAGTCGATTTGAATTTTACTGTTTGGTAATAAAAGTGCATTTTAATTTCTAGTTCGACTATGGAAGTTTTTCAATTACTTCCGATCTAACATAGAAAACTTTATTTATTTGCCAGTTCCTTCGTACCGTTCGTTAATGAAACTGTAAAATCTTTTATTTAAATTAATGTGGAAGGCAATTTCTTAGTGTACTTGTTCTATTTTATAGTTAAATAAAAATCTCCTGCGCTTACAAAAAAGTTATTTCCTCTTGATGAAGTGAATTATTAGGTTTAAACTGCTTTTTCAAGTTTTCCCAATGGCGTTTAAGTCCAACAGAAACACATTAAGGGTGATTAATATTCGAGAATTCCCACAATAAAAGCATCTCTATAATGCACGAGCATTCATTTTCGACGATCATAAATTTATGTTTCCTGAAATAGTATTCGACCAAATTTCGAAGAAAGTATGGACGTCAGTTTTGATTGATTTGACACCGGTAATTGATTAATACCTATCGAGGAAGAAACTGTTACCTTTCTACTTATTAATAATTGATTCCCAAATTCATTTTAAATCAAGTACGTTATCTATACAACTACACAACGATTCGATCTTGTATTAACTAAACGTTAGTTCAAGTTGGTTGGTCCGAATTATTGCTACTTAAACAGCGTTTAATGAACAAGTACAAAAAGCTTGTGAACGTCATCTGTCCGTAATTATGCTAAGTTTTCACTTTAATTTAAACTAAACAATTATCTTAATGTTACTACTGTTCCATCATCATCATAAGGTCTTCTAATATAAGTTTACCACTACTCTGCCTCTAATATGTCTCTGACTAGCCCTTCATGCATGAGAAAGCGTCCTACCAACCTATTGGCTTCCATAGAGTCCTCTGTTCTCATATTCTTTCTAATATATCTTCATTTTTAACCTTTTCTATTAGCCACGGTATCCTCATCATTCGCCTGTAATACCACATTTCGGGCGCTTCTAACCTTTTCTTTTACGCCGGGTCCAGCGTCCATGTTTCGCACCCGTACAACGCCGTGCTCCAAACATACAACTTTAACAACCTTTTTAGAATTTCTAAATTAACCGTTCGCGAGCATAGAAGTGACTTCTTCTTATTGAAGGCGACTCGACCCTGCGCTATCCTCTGCTTTATATTCCTACTGCTTCTTCGGTCCTGACTTATCTGACTTCCTAGATATCTAAAATCAGCCACTTATTCTAATGTTTCGTTTCCTATCTTTATATTTCCATACTTTTTCTATCCTTGCTTGCCAGTATTATTGTTTATTCATTTTCATACAATACTGTTTTTTCATGATCGCTTCCATTTTACTTAAAGCTATCTCTAACTCCAAGAGTTTAATAGTAATTCTCGTTTACGATTGTTGTAATTGAAAAAATAATAAGAGACTTACCGTACGATTGCCCATGTTGTAAATTCGGCACGAAAGGTAAGCAGTTTTGCCACGGAAAGCGTTGACGTCTCGGGGCACTGTAGGATCAAAGTATGGTTCCTCTGCCGAATGCCCTTCATGTTCAGTTATCGTAGCGTGTGCTGAAAAGGATGGTAAAACCGTGTTATTTGCATTGAAGATGCGAAGTTACGATGAATTATGCAACGTATCCTTTTAAGATGATGCTAGTACAAAAACTTATCGGCATTCTCGCAATATCCCGATTATATGTTACCACAAAATGAATTAAACTACCTTTTCAACTGCATAAACATTTAAAATTAACATACAATTGTTCACTGCCATCGTTTGGCTGTAAAGTGTACTTCTGTTAGGATTTACATATGTGCCGTAACATTATGTCGCCGTAAGTTTCTAGACGACGCAGACAGCCGACCGTCAAATGTCCGTCAAATAAGCCACGCGTGATAGCGAGATGTCGGGAACAATAATAATTTATCAGATGCATTGCCGAAACCAACGAAAATTAATAGTACTTACTTGGAATTGGTAGGTACTCAACGTTGAGATCCAGGGAATCCGGAATACCGATTATGCCAGCTGTAACAAAAAATAAAACAAAATTAAATAAAATAAAAAACGTTTAGAAACCAATACTTCAACTGCAATGGCAAAATCAAACCACAAAATCCTTGATACTATAGGGTTGTTCGGAGTCATTTCGTTTTTTTATTGTGGAAATGAAAGAAGTTTTCGTATAATAAACAAATACTTTATTAAATTATATATTGACCGTTCTGGTCCAACACCTTTTGCCATCTTTCTGGTAGTAGCATAATTCCACGCTCATAAAATTTTTGGTCTTTGCTGGCAAAAAACTGATCGAGGAGGTTTTTGACCTCCTCATTTGAGGTGAAGGTTTTACCGTCCAAAAAGTTTTGGAGTGACCGGAACAAATAATAATCCGATGGTGCCAGGTCTGAAGAATACGGTGGGTGTAGCATTGTATTCCATTCAAGCTGTAAAAGCTGTTGGTGAGTGACCAAACTTGTGTGAGGTCTCGCGTTGTCTTGGTGAAACACTACACCTTTCCTGTTGATTAGTTCTGACCTTTTCTGTTGAAGTGCATCATTCAGTTTGTCCAGCTGATGACAGTAGACTTCCGAATTAATCGTTATGTTATCCGGTAAAAGCTCAAAAAAAACGATTCCTTTAAAATCTCACCAAACAGACAGCATCACCTTTTTTTGGTGAATATCGGCTTTGGAAATGGTTTGAGCAGGTTCATCTTTTTTGCTCCATGACCTCTTGCGTTTGACGTTGTTGTATACAACCCATTTTTCGTCCCCAGTGATGATGCGCTTCAAAAACGGATCATTTTCGTGACGTTTGAGAAGCGAATCGCAGACGTCAATGCGGCGACACAGATTTCTCTCTGTGAGAACATGGGGAACCCATACATCGAACTTCAAGGATAATCCCAGGCCTTTCAAGTGGTCATAAACTGTTGAATTTGATAAATTTAACCTCAATCCGATCTCACGTGTTGTTATTCGCCGGTTCAGATCAACTAATGCCTTTATCGCGTCTTTATCAGCTTCAACCGGCCTTCCCGAACGTGGTGCATCTTCGACATCAAAATTGTCGGATCGAAATTTAGCGAACCAGTTCTGGCACTGGCGTAATGTCAACACACCCTATCCATACACATCAATCAATTTCTTTCTGGCTTGAACAGCATTTTTACCCTTTCTGTAGTAAAACAGTAAGATATGTCGAAAATGCTGCTTATCGCTCTCCATATTTAAAAGGGCACCAACCAAAAACTACTGCGTAGAATTAAGTGGAATTTTTCACACACAAGCCTTGCTATATGAGCTCTCAAAGCATATAAAAATTATACGGCTTAAATGTGAAGTTGGGTGCAAAAGAATACAATTAAATCCTCTGGCGGGAAAAAACGAAATGACTTTACGAACGACCCTATTAATATTTACTATACTGACTTCTCAATGACGGAGTTTCCTCTTTTGAATTAGTTTTCTTTTTAAATTAATCCGAATTTAAATTAAATATAGGAAAGAAAAAGACTCCAATTTGCTTCGACAACTTTTCATTATTAAAGTACACTTGCGTCAGATATTGTGCCATTACTAATACATTATTTTAAAGAATTTGGAAATGACTTTTAATGATGAGAAAATAATTAGTAAATCAACATGGTTATTAATAATGTTAACGTGTGTTAACTGCTATAATACTCGGTTGTACAAAGAGAAGATGAAAAAAAATACTAACTAAATGTGCATTATCGATATTAGATAGAAGGTTAGTTTCAATTCTTTTTTATCAGTGAGTAATAATGAATATGACATATCAAAAATTACTTACACGCCATGGCAACTTTATTACCTCTTGAATTCCTTCTGGAACGTAACAGTCCTGTAACAAAATATTTATAAAATAATACAGGTATTCTCCAAATCCTTCTATTATTATTAAAATAATCAAAATGGTATATAATCTATAAATATCCATGTAATCCATTATAATGTAAATTAGGAATCTGTTTGTACTTAGTAAAAGTGACAAGACTGATTTAAATGAACAAAAGTTGACGTATACCTCCTCGAGCGTTTCTGATGTAGAAAGTTTTTTAATTGTGATGAATAAATTTACATCTAAAATTTCTACAAGAAGTGTAATTTTTCTCCATAATTTGCATGGAAAAAAGTTTCCTACCAACTATAAAAAGTGCGATAAGGATATTTATGTGTCTACCTCTTGGGATTAATCACTAAACAGCTAACGTTAAAATTCAAAGTTGGAAAAAGTTGCTTTAAAATCTCAATCGATTTTCAGCTCGCCTCGATTCTAAATTTATTTGCAGTCATAAATTATAAAATCGTTCCACATCTAAATCAGTGTTTATTGAAGAACACGTTGTAGCAACGGTGTGTGTTTTTTGCTTTTCTCTCCCGTTTTCGATAAAGTTAAAGACTTACATAAATACGAAGAAAGATGTTGGAAGTTATTCTTCTTAACACCATCTATTTTCTTTGGAAAACATGAAAGTTTCAAGTGCAATAACAAACGTTTCTTTATGTTCTTGTGTCCGAAAGTTTAAATAACTTGTCCAAGGGTGAAGGATAAAAGCGCTCTAGGATTTTTGTAGTGCATAGCGCCAAGGAACTAAATAAATGGATGAATGCCAAGACAGAAGGCGCCGCTGATTCTGGGAGTAGTTCTATTAAAAGGACTTGTGGTTCCGAAAATTGTCATAAAGCTTTAAAACTGAAAGTAGCTTTTGCCATTGTTGCTCCTTTCAATATCACTCAATGATTAAATTTTTAAAAAAAAAAATTAGATAGTGTCGAAGTCCTCAGTCAGAATTTTATATAAATATCGGATGCGGCTGGCAATAATTTCAATCTTATTAGTTCCCATCAGCACACCACAGGTAGCTTTAATAAATCCTTGAGCAAGCCTAAGTCAAGGTACAGTGATATTTATCCAGTGTTATACGTAATAGGCACGCAAAGTAAATTAATAATGAACTTGCTTTTGACCTTAGATACTTATAATAAGATCTTAATGATGTTTAAATTGGTTTTCAATATTCATTATGAAAATTTCATTGTGGCTTTCTTTCAAGATCGAATCGATATTATTTTAATTCCTTTATGAAGTCTCTAATAGGCGTAGGGGTAGGTATCTTTTCTGTTTACGCTTTCCCTTCTGAAATTTTATGAAATCAGGTCCTCGAACTTTTAAAACAGAAAATTTAGGAATGTAAAGATTAATTTTGTTCGCTATAATATAATAAAAGTACCTATGAAATTGTACACGCGTGGTTACAAAGCAAATATGTGTATGTTTTAATGAATAAATTTTAACCCTGCATATGCGTAATGAAAACGTAATAAACGCGTTTATTTTGGAAATAATTGTCTATACATAAAGTATGACCCAGCAGTAGGCAAATGCTTTCTGTATGAAAAGAGAATTGCATTTTAAATAGACCAGACAATCGCTACTGATATAAGTTATTCAATTTAAAATTCATCAGGTGAATTTAAATACAATTAAGGTTCTTATTTAGGTCCCTATAGTCGTTCTGATACCGTCCAAGAAGTCCTTAACCGAATAAATACATACAGCAAAGTGAACGCCATCTAGGGATACTTGGTAAATACCAATTGTGGGATCTTATAACATTTATCAACGTTCTTTTCTGATGAGGATAATAGTATTTGTTAAATGGAACCCATGGTGTCGCCATTCGCGTGATAGGAACGTTAAGCAAAACAAAATAGTGATTTGTTCTTGGGAAATATTTAGTTGGAGTTGTCAACACCGTAGCCTGCTGATGAGAACCAAACAGTTCGAAATATATGTTTGACAGTTTCAATTTAATACTAATCAAGAACATATTTACTCTAAAAGTATAAGGAAAACATGCTCTATCTACTTAAGAAATTTGAAAGAAAGTATCAGTGCCGTTTTAAACAGGAAAACAGTAATATACTTGATAGAGGGGTCTGATGCTCATGGGGAAACAAACCCGACCTTGAATACAAGACTTGTACCTTCACTTTACAGTAACATCCATGATGTTAGATTTTCGAGAAATCAGTAAAAAAATCAACATCGTTAAAAGAGTTCCTACTAAACTAAACCCATCTCAACTGTCAAATTAAGTACATGTAAAATGTTGTGAAGAATCCAAAAATTTATTTATTGGAAAAATCTTCATCTTTTCCGACTAACAAATGGGAAGTTTGTACTTAATAAGTCCCATCAAATAGAAATAAATATTTAGTACTTATCTGTTATAAAATACGAACTGAAATTTATTGATAACATAGAAAATTGCAAGTCATATTAATTTGACTAAACCCTTTCAGAATACGTAATCCTTCTGAATAAGATACCCTTGTTTGAGGATTTAGGTGGCTTCGAGACGAGTTTTATATTTCTGCAGCTAAAAATTCTCGTAGTGTCCTCTGAAAGAAGAATGAACTGACCCCAAAGTCCGTGAAGGCATTATTTAAGACTGCTCTCCTCCTTTCATACATATTTTCGTCAAAGTGTCAAACTCGGGTCGAATAATAAATTTTTGTCGCCGTTTAACTTTCGAGTATCACGGGTTGGAAGTTTTTTTTTTTTAAAGAAATATGATCTTCGGTTTTGTGATCGCCACAAGAAAAAAAGGAAACTTTTTTTCAGAAGAAGATTGACTAACTTAAGAAGAGAAATATAGAAAGCACTTGAAGAAATTTAAATTAATAGAAACCGTTTTCGAAAACGTCACATACAGGTTCATGGTTAGTTTCGTACCCGAAGGGTTCATCGGAACCCTAATATTGTTACAACATTGCCCGTTCGTCTGAAAAGAGATATACACTTAATATTACAATATAATATGTAAAAAGAAAACAAAAAGTTGAAATGGTTTGAGGTGTGATGTTGTAAGCGGATGAACAAAATATTGTTAATAGAAAAGGTTAGAAATGAGGAGGTAATAGAAAGAGTAGGAAAATAGAGGGCGCTATAGAAGTCAATAAGAAATAGGCGATAGGTATAGTTAATGGGATACCTTCTCAGGCATGAAGGACTGGTTAGATACATATTAGAAGTAGAGACAGGAACTAAGAGGAGTAGAGATAAAAATAAGGACGTGGGATGCTGTAGTTTCAGGTAAATGCAAAGATTAGCTCAGGATAGGAGAGAGTGGAGGTGCGTGTCTAACTAATCTCAGGATTGACGACTGATAATGACAATGATGATAATGAAGCATGCGTGCGAAGTTAGTAAGAGACTATAAGGTTGTGTGAGAAACGAAGAATCAAAGTGCGTATTCAATTAGTCTTTAAGACTGACGACTTTGTGGTGATGGTTAAAACAGTTTAATACTACAGATAGTGATGAGGATATCATTGAAAACAATATGTATATATTGTATAGGTACCTATGATATTATTTATTATTTATATGCTAGTAGCTTTTACCTACGGCTTCGTTCGCGTTGATGACCTAAATCGTAAGTCCTGACAAGGACCATCAGGATAAAACTAAAGTTTTTAGTTTTCTAGGTTAAAGATACATCTTACGTAGAATGCTAAAAGAATTTTTTTTTCTCTCAGTATTGTTTTCTAGCCTATGTCCTTTTCTGTAACCCTGACAATATGTGTACAAAATTTCATGATGATAGGTTGAGTATTTTAGGCGTGAAGTAGTAATAAGCAAACAAACAAACTCATATTAGTTAGAGTGTAGGCATATGACTTTTATTAGAGATAGTACAGGACTGATGTCAATGCATAAATGCGACTTGCACTTGACTAATTTTTTATAAATTGGACTGTGATCTATCTGGTAGGGTGTGTTTTGGCTAGGATGCAGCATTTTACTGCTGTCCTGACGCAGCCTGGAATTGGTGTTACTATCGCCGCCGCCTCCGTGAAACACGGTGTTTCGAATTACAAATGACGTTGTTTGACCCAGAATACATTGCTCTGCAGAGACGTGCGAACCACAGGATATTTAAACGTCGATTTCATTTAAATAATACACGCGTCATCGACATGTAACCAGGACCGAAAGCCATATCCTAGATTGTGCTTTCAATTAAATTACTTGTAAGTAAAGCACGTTGCGGCGAGTTAATTAATACAAACATCTCTCTTTATGACTGTTACTTATGTAAATAGATTACTTATAAGGGATTTTCGACTAAGTTTTTTTTAGCTCATTAATATTTAATTACGCAGAGGAAAGACAAAAGCCAAACAACCATCGAGTAAATAAAATAGAGATCAAAGGATTTTTTATGAATTGTAACTGGTGGACAAACGAAGGGCAATAAATAACGAATAAAAGCCTTGCATTTACTGTTATTTTTTATATTCGGAAAGAACTAAAAGGATCATATAATTTTTTACGAGTTTCCGTTTCGTAGTTACAAACACGGTTGAATTAGATGTAAACTTAAGAAGCACTACAGAGTAATGAATCGTGCACAACATTGATTACTATTTCCGAATAGTGTCAAACTTTTAATTGACGTCGACAATGAACCCAGGAAGTTCTGTAGTTTTATTTCAGAATCGATGAATTTAAATATAACCGCTACGGTACAACCGCTAAATTAAGGAACGTTCTTATTTTAGGAACACTTTCGCTAATGAATTGAGGAAACAATCTAAGAATAAAATCACCTACAAACAGACAAACTCTGTACTATTTATAATTTCAGTAATAGACTATCTAGCTAAATAATCATACTACCTATATGTAACTTCAACTTTGAACTGTTAATTTGTTGAAATTCTTTCGTGAAAGTATGGAACAATATAAAACTTTTAACGTAGGTTTATAAACAAGGCGGGAAATAATTTGGACATGATATGTACCTGCTAGAAGGAACAGTTGAAATTATG